CCTGCCCTTAGTCTGTGAGTCGGAGTCTCACGCCGTCCTGCCGTGCTGTCCTCTATCACGCCTGTCTTGTCCGTTTCCAGATCCAGAAGCTGTGTGACAGAGTAGCTTCTTCCACGTTGCTGGATGACCGGAGGGATGCTGTCCGTGCTCTTAAGTCATTGTCCAAGGTAAGTACCCAATTTGCCGAATAACAGCGTAGTTTGTTTTTTTTTTTTAGGTTTTGTTATGTATTGCTTTGTTTGGTGTTTGGGCTCAGACCACTGATGGCTAAGTTTTTCTCCAAACAGAAATACCGGCTGGAGGTTGGCATCCAGGCCATGGAGCACCTCATCCATGTTCTCCAGACAGACCGGTGAGCATGCTGCAGCCTCCTCTGGCTGCTACCCTGACCCTTCTCTGCTGCTGAAACAAGTGCAGACCTGGTGCTCTGTATTGACAAAGCTGGGAGGGGGGATGAGTTTCTAACAACTCTTCTGTTATGGTGGCTTTTTGTGATGATGAACTTAACCAGCGCTTATTCAGAGGTGAAAAGGCCAGAATTCCAGGGTCTGGGATGAAGGACAGAAAAAACAGCTCTACAGTAAAGGTGGCACCTAAGTTGTCTTAATCCTTCCCTGACGGTGTTAAATATAGGGTTTGAAATAACCCTAATCAACCTGTTACTGGGCAGAAGGTGAGCTAGACAGAATTAATAGGGAACAACAAAGCCAGCAGGTTTGTGCTGTTGCCAGTGTGTGTTATCAGAGCAATTGGTAGGATAACTCTGTCACGGGGAGTAATGCAGGCATGGTCCTGGAGGGGTTCAGGTAAAGAGGAGAGCAGGACTCCAGGGCTGCTGCTAAGACAGGTGACATGAGTCTGAACGCTCTGTGTGGGCTAGAATGTAAAGTTTATGCAATCCAGTGTTTGAAATATCTTTATCCGTCTCTGCTATTGATTGCATTGCTGTACTTGATAGTACCCACATGTTGTAACTTGGCACCTGTTTGCAGCACTCAGATTTGGGCTTCCAATACCTACCTAAGCTCCAAGCATGTGCAGTAGGTGTACTGGGACAGTACTTTGGGTTTGAACATCAAGATGGTAAACCTATACAAAACAGTCAAATGGGCATGTGTAGAGTACTTATATGTACATACATAGGAAGGAGGAGCACATCCTCTAATGTTAAGATCAAGGAAAATCAGGAAAACAGCAGTTAGGAATCTGGAAGGAAGTGTCTAGCTCCAGTTATGGATATTGGAAAAGAAATGCCTCAGTGCTCAACCCAAGGGTGCTGGTTGAGGCCTTCCTTGCCTGCCCAGTTATGCCAGCTGGGAAGGTGTGGGGCTGCTGTCTAGGCAAGTCCATGTTATTCCTATTCCATTGGGGGATAGTTAAAGTGGAATGTCTGGTCTGGTGCAGGCAGTGAAAGGAAAGGTTATAGGAGTGACTGTCACTGATGTGGAGGGGAAGCCCTTCAAAAAAATTAGGACAAGGAGTTTGCTTTCATCCACTTACCTGCTCTTGAGGGCAGATTTGAACTTTGAGGAGAGAGGCAGGGCTCTACTGATGATCTAGTTGAGATGTGAACCTGAACCCTTCAGTGCAGGGACTTGGGGCTTTTCTGGGCTTTTTGGGCCCCGTTGTCCCTTTGGAATTGGTTTGTGCTGAGGCTCTGTGCACCTGTCTTGTGTGAGTCAGGCTGCAGTTCAGAAAGCAGGTAACACATGTTTCTGTGTTCTGGGTTTTGAGCTGAAGAAATGCTCTGCCACAAGGTGCTGGCAGACTGATTTCCTGTAGCATATTTGATGGATCAGCACATCAGCTGCTCTAAATGTTGGGTGCTGTGGCCCCTCTGAGGTCTCATTGTAGCCTCTGTGTTTGCTCAGTGCAGGTGTTACAGGTGCTAGAGTGCACTGTTTGGTGTCAGTGACTGTAGAGGTGAGGCCTTGGGGACTCAGTACAACTCCAAGCCAGCTAATCTGAATAACTGGTTGCTAACTGAGTCACAGGCTCAGCTGTCCCTGATGCCTGGTGTGACTGGCATATGGAACTGGGAGGCCAGTGGGCTGGCAGAGGGCAGTGCTGTGGTTGCTGTTTCAGTGTGTGCCCACAGGTGTGACCTTTGGACTCTCCCAGTGTCCACCTGAGGCACCCTGAAGCTTTCTGCACAAGTGGAAAATGCTCCTTTCCACCTGTTTATTTTTGTTTGTATTGCAGCTGCTTAAGATGAGAACAGAGAAGCCAATGACTGACTCAAGCTGTCTTCTCACATGCCACTATTTATGTGAGCCACTCACTTGTGCTAGTCCTGTACATGGACTGTTGCTGTGAAGTTTTAGATTACAGAAGGCCTAACTTGGTGAGAAAAGTAAAAGTGCTTGTGTCCTATTCTCATTTCTGGCCTTGGATCTAGGCCTGTTGCTTTGAATTAGTTCCAGTCTTTGTCCTGGAACAGCAATACTTCACTTCCTAAATGGAAGACATCGTTCCTGGAACAGTAATACTTCACTTCCTAAATGGAAGGCATCGTTCCACTTCCTAAACAATTTACTTGTAGATTGCCTTAAACTCTGTCTCCTGCTTGAATGCTTAAAACTTGTTATATAGAAAACAGCTTCTTTCACCGTATTTCCAGCTCTGTGCATCAGCCATCTTGGAGCCTGAGTCAGCTCTTGCACATTCCAGACTCTCACACACCCCAGAGTTCTTATGCTGTATGTTTATTTTGTAATATTAATGTGGTAGAGGACTTTTACTGACTTGCTGTCTAGATATTGCTACATCCCACCAGGGATTAGTTTAAAAAACGTTTGGCTTTGAGAGTAGAACAGGCCAGTGCCACTTACTGGTAGTATGGGAGAAAGCACTGTAGTGAGAAGTCAACTTGATGTTTAACTGCTTTGTTTCTACATATGTAACAAGGTTTTCGAATTTCAGTGTGACAACTGAGTTTGAAGCCTAATATATCAACCTAAGAGAATTTTTTTTTTTTTTATTTCTTTTTTTTTTTTTCCTTTTTTTTTACTCCTAAGGCACAAACCTCAGTTATTTCTGTGCAGGACAGTCAATACATGGAAGCCTTCACTACCATATGGTTCTGCTCTGCTGGTGCTGGTGAACTCAGGGGCACTGCCCTGATATCTTGTTTCAATGCCATGTGAAATCACAGCTAGGAGAGGCAAGGTGACTTGTGCTGGATTGTTGCATTGCTTAAAGCCTGCACTTTTTATGGCTTCTTGGGAGGCTGGAAGTCTATTTCTTGAGTGATTTTTCACTACAAAGCAAAAGCTGGGCAGCTTCAGTCTGAACAGAATAATCAATGCAACTTGCTCTGTGCTGAACAGCAGATGGTAGCAAGGCAGTGAGCAGCAAAGGTGGGATGCTGGTGTCCTCATTCTGTGATGTGCTGCTCTTTGAAGAAGAGAAGCAAGGCCTGCTTTAACCACATGTACATTGAATTTGCTTCTTGTTTGTAACTGCTGTCATTTCCCTAACTAGGGGAAAGAAGAGCAAGGCTGCAGCTGGATGAGTTTTTTAAAATTTTCAGGAAATAATTTCTGTGTCTTTTTAGATGTGGAATTGTTTCATTTGTATGAGAAGAAAAGTACAGACTTTGTAGCAATGTCTTGAAGAACTAAAATGGCAGTGAAGGGAAAACACAAGCAGGCTGAAAATGTGAGCATACCAGCTGGGTGAGGCTGTTTGCATAGACTGAAAGGTTAGGTGGCTGTTTAGGCCTCTGCTCTGAACCAGCCTAGCAGCCTCTTGAAATGCAAATTTATCTTTGGTGTGGTCTTACATGGTTATGTGTTGGAGGTCAGTGAAAGCTAATAGCTAAAAGTTGGGATGAGAGGTCTTGTTTTGGCAGTGTGCTCTGCAGGTGCTTGGGGAAGCCATGAACATGCTGTGAGGTTTGTCCTGCAGTCAGAAGTGTCTTCCTCTGGGGTGGTAGGTTTTATTTGTCTTTGGTTTTCGACCATCCGTGCTTTCATATTTCTCTGGTTTATGAGCAACAAAGCAAGCAGCAGAAATGGTTGCATCCTGCCCCCCAAGCTCTTGGACTGTGTCTTGGTTGTAGTGTAAGGTTTACAGATTGTTGACTCTTGGTAATGCAGAAGAAACAAGTCTCTCCTGAAGCGGATCTTAGGAGAAGAGTCTGGATGTGAGCAGGTGAACTAATGCTTTGAGGGTAGCAAGGCTGCCTTGCAGCTTCCTGGGATTGCTTGGAGTTCAAAACCTTTTAATAGCTGGGTGTAGTCAGAGTTGGTGACATTGGAGGGTGGCCCGCTTTGGAGAATACACAGCTGTCATTGCAGTCACCTGGAGCTCCAAGTTCAGGCTCTGGTTCTGGCTGTTGGCATAGTGGGGAGGGTCTCTCCTGGGGTGGTGCTGAAGCTTGTCTGCAGCTTCCTCGGATGACTGTCTGGGAAGTGGTCTAGAGCCTTCCCAGAGATTTCTCCTGGTATGCTTGAGGAGTGGCTTTGAGTGACTTGGGAAATGGAAGACACACCTACAGTGAAGCTTCCTGTGGTCATCTTGTGTCACCAGACTCTCTGAAGGAATGAACTGGGAAGAGGAGTTTGACTCCTTTCAGGGCCCAGACAGCTCATGGGTATATGGTATTGCCATAAATCTGTCCACATCAGTGTTTCTCACTGCACCTAGTGCTGCTGAGGGAACTGCCTGGGTAGGAAAGAAATACTGAGAGTAGCTGGAAACAAGTATTAAAGACAAGTGATTCTTTCATTTGCAGTTCAGATTCTGAAATAATTGGCTATGCCTTGGACACTCTCTACAATGTAATATCGAATGACCTAGAAGAGGAGGAGCAAGGTAAGCCCTTGGTAGTAATAGTTGTATTGACTGGGGTTGCTTTCCTTCGTGCTTTGTTCCAATTACCAACTATAACAGTGTGATTTACTAATGCTGAGACTTGCTTTGTTCTTGTGTAGCTGTTAGGACAACACTAAAAACCTTGTATATAGCTTGCTTGAAAGTAACACTGGATCTCTTGCTTTTTAATGTTAAAAGCTATGTTCTCTGAACAGCAGCCAGGTTGGGATGGGTAATTAATTGTTTGTTCTAGTTTATAAGTCAAGAATTGAGTAGTTCTTGGCTATTGGGAATGGACAGCTCTGGCTGTTAATGTCAAATGGGACACTACAATTTGATGGTTTAACAAGGATGCTGAGATGTGCAGTCTCAGGTACCTGCGCTAAGGTGCTACATTTGAGTGTGAAAACCTTTCAGCCCTGCTGTGGCATTTTAGAGATTCTGCCTGTCCTTCCCAAGGTGTACCAGTAGACACTGCCCATCTGGACTGTGAAAATCCATGCCACTCCTGCCTTTATTTTATTTTCCAAAGCCTTTCTTGCTAGACCACCAAACTGGTCTCAAAGGCCACTGAATGTTATTCTAAACCATATCTCCAATTGTGCTTGGCTTACTTGCCCTTCTTTTCCCTGTTCATCCATTTCCCTGACCTTGATGAAAGATGCTTTGAACAAGGTCAGAGTCTTGCAGTCCTGGTGAACACGTTCATGGTAGTGGCCTGGATTATGGACTGGACAAGAGCGTTGTTAGCAGTCTCTTACAAGGAGCCGAGAATTGACCAACCGGAGTTGTGTGTGAGAGATCAGCCATGTTGTAAGAGTCCAGGGTGATTTAGGTCAGCCTCTTCCATCAGAGCTGCCCCAAAGAGTCAGGGCTGCTGTAGGAAGCTAGGATGGCTGCTTGGAAGACCTGAGCTTATGCTGCTGTTGGTTGTGCTGTGTGGAAAGCTGTTCAACTTGTAAACCTGTGTCTTGTTTCTTTTTCTTTTATCTGCATTGACAGATGACTCTGAAGGTAAAAGAACCTTTACTTGTATAAATATGGCACTTTGTTTTAGCCCTAGTTGCTACTCACACCAGTAACACTTGCTGCCGTTTAAAAGGTCGCTGTAGAAACTTGCAGTGGAGCTCAGCGAGAGCTTTTGTCCTTCTGCTTTATACTTATTCTTTGGAGCTTGTGTGTTTCCAGTTGGATTTCTCCTGTGATTTGGCATGTTGAATGCCAGCCCATCTCCAGAGACTGTAGTAATGATAAACTCTTGATAAGGATGTCACAAAGGTATGCAGCTCTGGAACTGGGAGGTTTTTAATGGCCCAAAGTTGGTGAACAGAGTTTGTTTGCAAGAAGCCCTGAAGCTGGACACAAACGCATGAGCTGCACGAGCATCTTTCACAGTGTCTCTTTTAAGCAGTGCATGTTAAAGTAGTGTTCACTTCTACCCTGAGTTACCACTAACACTATGTATTTTTTAATACATCCTTTCTATACTAATTTTATCAAAGTGCACTTCATATGTTTATTTTGGGATGAAATTGTAGTTTGCAGTGCTGCTTGTTAGTGAACTGCTGAGAGCTGAGCTTACTATATGGAAGCTGTTCACTTTATTTGAGATAGCCCTGTGCATGTGTAGATGTAAAGGGTAGTTATGGCTAGAAGGCTGGTTGCAACATCTGTGGTGTATCCACATAAATGCGAGATGCAGTTTCCCTTTTGTCCAGCTCCCGCTTTTTAAAATGTGGTAGAAGAAATAGTCATGGGAAGAGCAAGAGTTGAGAGAGAAGTAAAAAAATGTGATTTGAACATTTCATAGAAGAAACCTAAACATCCTGAACTGCAGTTAATAACTACAGCAAACTTGGAAGAGGCTGTGGAAGTTGTGTATATACTCCTAAGGTTTTGCCTTAACACCTGGAACTTGTGCAAGGACAAGAGTTGGGATTAGGAGTTCCAGCACTTGCTGTTTGTAGCTGAGTTTGGAAAAAGGACAAGATGTTCAGTCACAGCTCATGGAAAACTCCAAGTGAAATGTTTTGATTTAAGTGTCTATTAAAAAGAGAAAAGTTGAGGTCTGTGGTAGCTCCTTGGTTTACAGCAACCTGCAGGGTGTGCAATCCATGTATAATTGATTCCTGGCTGAGTTGCCTCTTGAGCTTCTGCACTTGCTGCTGTAGATGAACTTGTGTGGAGTTTTCATTTATGTAAACCAGGAGTGGCCCAGACTTGCTAAGCCCCTCAGCTTCAGAGAGCTCATTGTAGGACTTGTATTCTAGATGCTACATGCCTGGGCTAGAGTTGTCTTTGCACACAGTCTGTCTTCTCTTTTCTCTTTTTTTTTTTTAAAGTATTTGATGGTTTCTGCAGCTAGAAATTGACAGGAGAGTGTTGCTGCTGCTCAGCCTCTCCTGTAAGCTATACTGATAGGCCTCCTTCAAGGGAAAAATACAGCTGTGTGACAGGAGAGAAATCATCAGCTACTCTGTCCGGAAGGCCAAAGAGAAAACTTGTGCTGTACTGGAAATCCTTCACAAGTAGATCTTATGCATTGATACCTTGCAGGGAATCACTATCACCAACAGTTTGAATTGGGTTAGTTGAATTCAAGTGGTTTTCTTGACACCAGATTTTTGTAGTAGTCTCTTGATTTTTTATTATTTTTTTTCCTTTTGCCATACTCCAGCAAGGTGCAGAGTTTGGAGATGGTGTGTGGTCTTTGACCCTTTTATAGCTGCTCAGTTGTTAATGGTTTGTTAGTGTTTCCTTGATAAGGCTGCAAATCCTGCGCTTCAAGCAGGAGGAAAAATCCTTGGTTTGCCTTCATTTGACCAAATCAGACCTGTGGATTTGGTCAGCAACTGAGTGACTTTATCGTGTATTCTCTGTGCTTTGTGCTTCAGGCTGTGGCTGTGGTTCCATCAGCAGCCATGGACACTGAGGCTGTATCTGACTTGCAGGGCAGCCTGGGGTAGCAGAGCAGCAGCAGTGGCTCTGCAGTGGCTCCTCGGCGAGGCACAGGACCTGGGCAGGGATCTTGGCGGTTGTGCAGGGAGAAGCCAGCCAAGCAGCGAGTGGCTTAGGGGATGTGTGAGGAGAGGAAGCTTTGTAGGGAGAAGGGTGTTGGCTGGAGGTGGTTGTGTCCTGTGGTCTCTTCCCCTAGTAGTTGATTTGTGTTCAAGGGCTTTCTGGGCTGCTGTGAGGACCCTTGTGTAAACAGACTTGTTTGGCATGGGGTGGCCATGTACAACTGAATTCCTGCCCCTATGGAGTGGAAGCTGCTGCTCAGCAGTTGAAAAGCTCATGTCTCAGCCTGTACTGGCCTTGAATGCCATGTTCCTATCCAAAATTAAGGCATAATAAAAAAGTCTCTTTGAATTGGAATTGTTCTTCCTCAGTTTTCGAGCTGACATTCCTTAACTAAGCCAACCAGTGGTACGTTCATACCCCTGTTTTATGGAACAATTACATAAATTGTCACTCAGCATAGAAAAACAGTGGTGCAGAGTATCGTTGCGGGGGATACTTCTGCCTTTCTTTGTGTAACAACAATCATGAAGCAATGGTGTAAGGTGTGGTTCATGTGCTGCCCCCAGTTCTACATGACTGAAGGGTAAATAAAAATGGCACTTAATTTTAGCACATCTGAAATGGACTCAGAATCCAAGACTGAGAGGTTTTGAGGCTCATTTGTTCCAAATTTACTCTCCCTTTCCCAATATTTAGGTCTTTTCCATTGCTAAACCAAAACTGAGCTTTAGATGGTTTATATTCCCTACCACTCACTCCAAACCTCCCAGTGTGAAGTGTTCTTGACTTTTGCACATCAAGTGAACGGTCCTTTGGAGGAGCTGCTCTGCTGAATCAGTGCAGCTACATGTGGATGTAGCTGCTCTGAGACTCCAAAGTTGTTTAGAATAATGTAGGATTTTTCTTTTGTGCAAAGCTTGTGTTGGTGTTTTTGAAAATCATTCGCTTAACGTTATGGCAGTGACTATAAACCTCTTTGTCACCCATGGCCCTGTTTTAGTAAGAATAAGAATCTCAGCTGCAAGTTGTTCCAATGATGTGTTGCAATATGTTGGGTTTTTTACCATTACAGAAGAAAACTCAGCAAAACAAGTGGATGATTTGGGAAGTCAGTTCACAGAGATTTTCATTAAACAGCAAGAAAATGTCACACTCTTGTTGACTCTTGTGGAGGTGAGTGAATGTCACAGTTGGAATACTAAGAGATGGGTAGTAGTGTGCTTGGATAGAGCCATGGTTTTGTGTCAGATTTGAGGTGTTCTTAGATCCAGTGCATGTGGGGTTGGAGGTGAGTCAGGACTGACCTTGCTGAACACCATTAGTTCCACTTTTCCTGTATGAAACCTATGTCATGCTTTCAGCAGCGTTACACATTTGTCTGTGTATCTGAGATAAACACTGGGGAAATGATTACTTCACATACTCCTCTCTGTTTGCAGGAATTTGATTTCCATGTTCGCTGGCCTGGAGTGAAACTGCTCACATCTCTGTTAAAGCAGCAAGGGCCTCAAGTGCAGCAGATCATTCTTGTCAGCCCCATGGGTAAGTGGCTGAGTTCATTGCTGATAAACTTGGAGCTGGAGGAGTCTTAAGCAAGGTGCCTTTAAGACCTCCAGCTTGAAGAAGCTGCACCTTTGAATGCTGTTGCATTAAAAACATGTTCCTTGCAGGTGTGTCCAGACTGATGGATTTACTAGCAGACTCTAGGGAGGTTATACGAAACGATGTAAGTACAGAACAGATTTCCTCTTTATAGCCACTTGGCATCCTTTGTGTCAGTGCATGAGGGAGCCACTGCCTGGTGTCCACGGGGGGTTTGTTACATGTGCAGAGTTGCAGAGCATGAAGCTGTGTCCTGTGATTGTGGCTGAGGATTGTGGTGCTGATGCAGCATCCTTCTGAGAGCTGTGACTTGTGAAAAGCAGTGGAGTACTACTAAAACTGACCTTAATTTCCTTTGTCCCCCACCTGTCAAGGGAGTCCTGTTGTTACAGCAATTGACCAAAAGTAATGCAGCCATACAGAAGATTGTTGCCTTTGAAAATGCTTTTGAGAGACTTCTGGATATCATAACAGAGGAAGGAAACAGCGATGGAGGTACAGACAAGTCTAAAACTTAGTCCTGTGCTTTTGCACCAACTACTAGATGATATTTACAGGCTGCCCTTAGTCTTTAACTGGAGCTGGGTCAGTGGGTAGAAGGATCAAAACTTACACTGGCTGGAGTAAAACCAGATTGTGCAAGTAGCAGTGTTTCAGTGTCTCTTAAAAACTGACCTACTTAGTTAAAACATCAGTGAACTTCTCTGAGCCTGTGTGAATGAATGTGTTGTTTGGCTTAGGCTTGTGAATGTGTATACTTGGAATGGCAGTGTCAGCTGTGTGTGTGTGCTGCATTTGTCACTTACAGGGTTAGGCATCTGCATTCCTCCTGCAAGATCCTTGGATGCTTGGAGTGACTGGAATTAACAGCTTGCTGAGTTCCTTCAGCTGCACCAAAAACTTCAGTTTTGTGGTCAGCTCCTTGCCAAATCAACTACCTGTTGGGAGGGGAAAAGGATTAAAAAATGTGAGCAAGAACAGTACAGCACTTCAGGGCTTTTTCATTTTAGCAACACATGAGTTTACCACCGGTTGTAGTTTACTACATGATCTATTTCAACAACATGACAGGTTGCTGTTCCATGACCTTTTTGTGGGCTGCAGGAGCAGCTAATGCTTCTCTCTCAGCTGAATTATTCCAGATATGTTGGCACGGGGAGATTAAGCAAACCTTTGATTCAAAGCTGTTATTTTTAGGCATTTAATAATTTTAGGAGACTGGGTATGTGCTCAGAGTTCTCTGCTTTCCCCCTCCTAGCTATCTGTTCCTCAGACAGGAGGAACCTCTATCTGAGGATAACCCAAACCCAACAAGTAGCTTGGAAATGAGTTGTGGATGTAGCCAGTGATTGAAGACAATGAATGTGTAACCCAGGAAGAGCTGCTGCCTTAGAATTGCCGTGCAGTTCAGGGGGAGTTTCTCTTTAGTGCACATAATACAGGGACAGCGTAGCCTGACTTTGGGGTAGGTGAACTTCAGAACACAAAGTGATTGTGAGGTTTTGTTTGAGGTTCTTCCCATTCCTACTCAATTAACTCGTACAAACTGCATATGCTTTGAAAATAACATGTTTGTATCAAACTTGTGGAAGAAACACAACCATGGTTTCCTTGGATATATGCTGGATCAAGGTGGATGTGTTTACTTAAGAGTGACCTTGGATTACTTTTTTTTTCAGGCATGAGATTCACAATTCTTGATCCAAACCTAATGTGTGTTAAGAATGAAGAGTTAGGAGCGTGCTCAGTTCCACCTGGAACATCCTCAGTTCATGGAAAAGCCAGTTACTTTCCATGTGGCATCTTTTGATTGATGTTTTGGGTTTCTGTCTCACCAGGAATAGTAGTGGAAGACTGTCTCCTCCTATTACAGAATTTGTTGAAGAACAATAATTCCAATCAGAACTTCTTCAAAGAAGGTTCATACATTCAGCGCATGAAGCCTTGGTTTGAAGTTGGAGATGACAACTGTGGCTGGTCTGCACAGAAAGTAACTAATCTTCACCTCATGCTGCAGGTAGGACTTCCTCTAACTCCTAAGTACCCATGTCAGCACTTAGAATGATAGAATTTTAAGGGTTGGAATGGACCTTACAGAGCATCTAGTCCCAACCCTCTGCCCTGGGCAGGGACACCTCCCACCAGACCAGGATGCTCAAGGCTTTATCCAGCCTAGCTCTAAACACTGCCAGGGTCGGGGAAACCACCACGTCCCTGGGCAACCTGTGCCACTTGTCTCACCACCCTCACAGGAAAAAACTTTTTTCTAATATCTAACCTAAACTTCTCCTCCTTCAGTTTGAACCCGTTAGTTCTTGTCCTATCGTTGCAGTTCCTAAAGAGCTCTCTTGGAATGAAGACTAAGTGTAATATACCAACTGTGGAATCCCTGTGTTGTCTGTAGCTCAGAATTACCTGCCAATGCTCATGAGCTGAGCTGCTTTCAGTGGTGAATCTGGAATGGCTGGGATATTGCATAACTTGATGTAACAGTAATATAAGCTAAAACCATCATTAGGGATGTCCTATGTAAAGAAATCCCTGTATGAAGCTCAAAATCAAGTGGCCATTTGTAGTAATGAGATGAACATCTGTTTATTGTAGTTGCCTACCTCCATCTTTATGGAGATTGCCTATCTCCATCTTCAGGAGCAGTTCTGTTTCATGGTTAAACTGAAAATGGGTTCATTTGTTTTGCTTTGCATTCCAGAATGTCTTGGGACTCTCTTCACAGGGAAATGTTTCCTTCTTTTCTAGCTTGTACGTGTCCTGGTGTCTCCCACAAACCCTCCTGGTGCCACCAGCAGCTGCCAGAAAGCCATGTTCCACTGTGGCTTGTTACAGCAGCTCTGCACAATCCTCATGGCAACTGGGG